GATATAAGGCTTGAATATGTTAATCTCTATAAATCAATTAGGTCAGAAATCCAGAAAAAACAACTAAAATAATAGTTAGATCTGGGAAAAGAGGCAAGGTTGGGGTAGTTTGAGGCCCTTTCCCGGTCGAAAGAGTATTTCGCTTTGTAGGCTTAGCACTAGAGGAACTGGAACCGGCAAAATTTTGAAATTTCTGCTTCACTGTTAGTAAGCGTCGCCAAATATAACGAATGCAAAGTTAAAAACACCTAAAAATATTTTTAAGTAATTTTGGAGGAAATTTTAACGGTTAGGCAATAAAAATACGGAAAAGAACACTCAAATTATTAAGAATGCAAAAAGACGATAATCATTTGACACAAATAAATTTCAAAAGGAGGACTTGGGTAACATAAAATCGAAAAAAATATTAAAATTTTAACGCGATTTAACGTAAAAAAGTAATAAAAATTTCACCAAAAAAAATAAAACCGCAAAAGGAGTGCACTAAACGATTATATACCTTACTTTCATTTAAATTTTCCCTTTAATTTTTGGAGGAAAAAGTAAAAATAATTTTGTAAGTATGTATATTCTGATAAATTTTATAAACTTTATTGATATCCCAGACAATTGCGGTTACGCGATGGCGGATTTAAAAATTCTTTAATTCTTGAAATGAGATCTAGTTTTTAGTCTCGGCTGTTAGTTTCAGACTTTTGACGGTTTCCTAATCATTTCTAGACTGAAACACTGAAAACCTTAAAAAATCTTAATTTTTTAGTAAATTGTTGTTGTTATATCCGCAATCTCGCATGCAATTGTCGTTCCACCGCCCCCTCCCTATTTTGACCCCAGAGTTTTCTTTAAAATACCATTATGATCTATCATTTGAAGAAGTCACAGGGAAATAAAGATAGGATTGAGCAAGAAAGTCTTATCATTAATATTAAAGAACACTCCGTAACTCAAGCTATGAGGGGTGGAATATCCATAAAGTACCCAAATCTATAAGATATTCAATATTCTAATTAATTCTCGAGTTAAAATGACAATAAACATGTACTATAAACGAAAGTTGAACGCGCCTTTGAAATTTTTTGGAAGTGATGAGAAACATCACTAATATTTAGCTTCACCCAATAAATAATAAATTTATTACATTTAATTGTAATTCCTTGATGAAAGAAATGCAAAAAAGAAATATTTTTATGATTACAATAAGGGGGAATACATGAAATAAATGTAAAAATGTGTAGTGAAGATGATGAAGTGTTTAAAGAAAATTTGTTACAAAAATGATGGAATGAGGAAAAAAAGTGATAAATTTAGGAAATAAACACAAAGTGACAAAAAAGTATAATCAAAATTATAATTTTATTTAAGCAATGTTGGGAAAGGTGTATTTTCTAGAGATCGTAGCGATAAGATATCTCCAACAAAAATCTCTTTTATCAAATCTGAATTCTCGAAAATAACTTTCATTTGACAATACGTCAAGGTCGAGACTGTGGTGGGGAAGACAGTGCTTCAGAAATGGGGTCAGATTTTTTCAAAAAGAGGTATCCACAAATTTTTTCTGGTTTAAGAATGTTTTTAAGACTCGGGACAATTATTTAGTAAAGTTAGATTTTTTATCTGTTTTAGTTTGCTTGAGATTTATCGATTTTTCTTTGAAAATAAAATTTTGGAAAAAAACGAACTTTTTTATGAACCGAACTAGTAAATGGTAAATATCAAAAATCAAGACCGTAGTGATAAAATATCTTGAATAAAATCTTCATTATTGATACTTACCATTTAGTTATAAATTGTCGAATGAAACAATTTTGAATGAATTTTTAAGACTACAAGTAAATCTAGCAATGATTTATTCGTTTTTTTATACATAATGTTAATTAATTAATTTGTTTCTATTTATTTATACATTAGTCGTTCTCTTCATCTGTGGGGGCGCTCAGCTTTTGACATTCTATCGCAGTCAGAAGCTGGGGGAATATTTTTGGAAGCCGAACTCAAGTTTTGGCTAAATTTGTTTGAATATTATTTTTTGAAACAAGACGCAAAGCCAATTTTAGCAAGCAAAGCATATCTAATAAAAATATCATATCGACTAGGTATGTACAAATTCTATGTTTTGTAAACAATTTTATAAGCTAAGAAGTACAAATTTACGCGAAGAATTAAAAAGGAAAGGTGAATAAAAACATAAAAATAACAAAACAACTAGTGTATACATTTATTTGGTTGATTGGATTGTAAAGGCAAAATGATGATTGAGATGAACAGGGGAAATTACTAAAAATGATGGGAACGCGTGAGAGAAATATAAAATAAAAATTATTATTTATTGGAAGGACAGCTGCAAATACATTGAAAAAAATGATGAGACACCCCATATATTCGCAAATAAATTTGAGTATAGGAGGAAACGGTTATTATAATACTAAACTACCGTATATCCAGTAATAACTACCCTGAGTAATTATTGTTTCGACCTTCTGCTGGAGGGAGTAATAATCAAGAGAGGGTAATTATACGAGGTTTAAAATTTGACGTGTTTTAGGGCATTTGTGCGGGGGTAGTATTGGATGGGGTAATTAATAGAAGTGTGGTAATTATTTAATGGAGAGCAATTAGGTCGAATATACACAACAACCTCACTTTGGCTAGAACAATAGCAAATTTTTGAATTAAAATATCATTTAAATCTTGGATTCCTGTATATTGTTTACCTTGCTTCTCGTTGTATTTATCATATTTTTGGATGTTGGATATATCCAACAGAAATAGAAACGAGTCGATTCATTATTAGTAATTTATAGTCATTTAATGCGTCTTATCAAGCTATCAAGGATTTCTAGCAATGTTAGGCACTCATTGCTTACAAAAATATAAAATTTGATTCATGTATTTTATGGAATAAAATTGTTAAAATCAAATTTATCAAATACTTACCAAGTTAATTGATATTATGAAAAGATTCATATATAGTGTGACAAGAAATAAATGGGCAAATAATTTGTGACATAACTTTATCAAAATTAAAGATAATGAGATCAAATAAAGCTTAAATGATAGAGAATAAAATAGGGGAAGAGAATTATGAAATTATAAAATCTGGTTTTTATGTTCTAATTGTCCAATTATTCTGAAATTATTATAGGGGATTTAAAGCACTGTTGGACATATACCCACAATTCCTAAAAAAATTTCATTTATTATAGCCATTATTGGTTAGTTTTTTCTTAAAAATGGCTTTTAAGAATTATAGATTTTCATTTTAGTAATGCTTAAAAATTGAAAAATGTCACTGCATTATTATTAGAAAATCTCAAAAAATAAGCTAAATAGACTGCGATTAAATGGCTTTAATAAATGGAAAAATTAGAGAGAAGTGTAGAAGATGTAAGGATTGGGACGATGACTGTCTCTTCACAAAACCGGAAAAATAAGAGAATAATTAACTAGATTGTGTTAATAAAAATGAGGGAATGAAGAGAGGATACATTGAAAAAATGCTGGAACTGAGGAAGTTTGGAAGTTCCTAACAAAATTAATCTGATTTCGGCTGAACGCGACAAAGGCTATTTGAACTAATCTCAAGCCATCGTCAGTCATGGTAGAATGAAAGTAACGTGGAAGGGGACAAAGATAGCATGAAAATATTTTTTGCGGATTGCTTTGTTCTTTTCAAAATTATCTCTTACGCTCATCCATGATCATTGTCACAAACGATGATTTATGCTGATAGGGGTTGGGCCGGGTTGAGAAAAGTCGGAACGAGTTCTAGATGGGTTCCCCACAACTTTACTCGAATCGGGATTCGGGCGGAGTAAGTCCAGGTTTGGAGCTGAGGTCGGATTTCAAATAGCACGTCACACCCCTGATATGTAAATACAATTCAAAATTTCATAATTTTTTAGGAATTGATTTTTAAATGGTGTGGAATAAGTTGCAATCGATGGAATAAAAAGTTGCAATAAAAATGAAAAAGAAAATCGCGTTAGTAAATACAAACTAAGTAGGGGTATACTTAAAAGGAACACGCTGTGGGGAGAGAAAATGAAATAAAACTTGAATGATGAACAAAAAAGAATGAAAAATCTGACGTGGCGGAATTTAAATAAATATATAAAATTATTTTTAGAATTTTTTAATGGGGTTATTTTAGCAAAAATAATATTTTGCTCACAAAAATAAAACTTCATGCTTCATAAAAAAATTCCAAGTTACAAATCTAAAATTTAAGATTTATACACACAATTTATGAAGAAAATTATATGGTGAATTCCAAATGGAATAGTAACTACGGTCATACGACACTTGCAGATATGACATTTGCAGACCCGACATTTGCAGATACCGACACTTGCAGATATGACACTTGCAGACCCGACATTTGCAGATACCGACACTTGCAGATATGACACTTGCAGATCAGACATTTGCAGATCCGACTTTTGCAGATATTAATTTTTGAAAAAAAGATTTAAAAATCTTAAAAAATCAAAGGATATATAGTATAGTATGCCGGTGGAAAGGTTTTGATATAAGACCCATACCAATTCGTCTCGACGAGCTGAGTCGAACGGCACCACTATTTTTTCCGGAGGTTCAAAATGTTCAACGTAGACCTATGGAGAGTCGGCGAGGCGCTTGTACAAAACCCCGCGCTTCGCGCGAGGTTTTGCGGCACGCGCCTCGCGGGGAGTCAACGGTCGCTGGGCTCTGGGATCGACCTATTCCTATCATCGATGAGATGGACATCCCAGGATTCCTTCGCAACAGCAAACACTCCACGGTACATAGGTAAGGTAAAGAAGAGAGCGAAATGGGTCTAATCTGCAAAAGTCTGATCTGCAAGTGTCATATCTGCAAGTGTCGGTATCTGCAAATGTCGGGTCTGCAAATGTCATATCTGCAAGTGTCGTGACACGGTAACTACAGTCGAACCTCACTAATCTCTTGGGGTAAAAAAAGTATCAAGGAAATGAAGGATGTTCAGAGTTTAAAAAGGTTTAAGAGCTGAAAGATTAATGTTAAGCCATAAAATTAAGCAGAAATATAGAGTCGTGGAAGAATATATCAAAATAATTCATTTAAAGCGCAAGAAATTTTCTGCCCCAGAGGTTAGACTGTATTTAGGTCTGTCTGTAGTTATTCATATATTTTTTGATAATGACGTCATAAGAGTCCCCGGAACAAAAGTCACGGCGCGGATTTGCTTAGCGTAATACTCGTGTTACATGTCCGAGCTTGTCTGAGATTTCGATAAAGATGACGAATACATTCAAAGGTTTATCGGACTGATACTGACACATATGGCATTTCACTAATGCTTTATACTAAACCTATAAACTAGCCCATAGCCAAGTCGGGCATCACAAGTCTGAGAATGTGTCTAAGGAAACTGCCTTAATTAATAATGAATTATTAGACTAATTATACACCTTTTGATAAAAAAAGAGAAATTTCGAAAAGGGAATAAATGTTGAATTAACTAAATAAATAAATAGAAAACATAAAAGCAGGTAACATAAAAGGATGAGAAAAATGTAATAAAATCATCCTTATCAGATTTTTTTACAAAATATTTCTTGTAATAAAATTTAAAAAAGTGTTGAAATTTTCTAAATAATGTGAATAAGTAATAAATAAATATCAAAACAGGTATTTGGAAATTTCGATTTTGCTCGTAATTGAGGATAATTTGTAGAGTAAAAAAATCGTTGCTAGCGACCGGAGCAAAGCGACGGCCGTCGTCTCGCTCGACATGCCCGGCTTCCTCCAAAGCGGCAAAAACTTTTTCCGCGAATACTTTTTTCCAAAATTAAATATGGCCATACTGATCTTAAAGTTTGTTTCAATTTTGCTAAATATATGATTGAAAATTTAAATGATTATATATAATTTTAATATTAGAATTACTTCTAACTAGAAAAATCTTAAAATGTTTCCCTTAATTTTCTCTTATTTAAAGGTGGAGCTTTCTACTCGTTTCAATTCTAACTTTCTTCAACTTTTGGTATTACCTCCTTGTACTTATCTGTTTGCCTTGTACACAAGAAAATTCTGTTAGACATTTGCTCAAACAAGTAAAGAAATTTGGATTTTTTTGGATTTACAAAATTCTTTAAATTTTAAAGGATCGACACGAAAACTTGGTTTATTCTGCAAAGAAAAGGGATCGAAAGTTGATCAAGTCGTTTGCAGAGGAGGCTCTTTGCAAGGATGGGGTAAAATAATTATTTGATGTATTTAGTTCGTACAGTTAGACCTCATTGTAAGTTATTACATCCTAAGCCTTACAGAACATGTTTCTCACAAGTGTAAATAAAAGAATAAAAAAGATAGCAATTGTCAGGAATAATAATAAATTGTATTACGCCCCCCAATAAGTCAATTACACAATAAAGCAATTACAAGATTTTGTACTGTTCATTTTTCAATTATTTTATTTACCTTTCAGATTCTACTCTTCTGGTTTGTCGAGGGACATGCTGGGCCACTTATTGCTAGAGAAATACTTGGAGAAATATTTGACTACTACAAAGGAAAAAAGTTAGTTTAGTTGATTTTTATGTAATATGATTGCTAGAATTGTTCAATATATAATTTTCCGATTTAGGTTGTACTTATAAGTTTATGTTTTATTCACGTTAGATCTGGGCCTCCGCTGTGTGCTATTTATTTTTGGGAGCCAAGCTTTGCTTGGTTAAATTTAACAGAGTTCATATTAGAGAGAAAGAGCTTAAAAACTCGAAGAATTTCAAAACTTGTGCTTAGTTTTCTGATTTTTTTCATTTAGCATTACGAAGATGACGGAGAGGATGATTTAATTAAAAAATCTGGCAAAAGTTCCTTCTCTTCACAAAGTACTGGTTCGATGGAGGACGATTATGTTGAAGAAGGAGAAGAATATTATGGCGGAGGGAAGGCGCTACTCCTTTTACAAACCCAACTGGGCCTGCAGGAAATTATTATGGTAAAGCACTTGTAAAGGAGGTTTGAAATGTTTTTTTGAGTTTTGATTATTCTTGAATTTTTTAAAATTATCATGTGATTATTGAAGGTAAAAGGAGATTATTAAGGAAAAATATTGGTGGCACGAATTTTCGTCAAAGGACCTTCCGTCAATGGACATTCCGTCAATACTTTTCGTCAATGAATGGATGTTTTGTTTAATTTTAAGAGAAAGAGAAGATGATACATGTATATAAAAGTGTAAAACTTTTGGTTAAATTGTGTCAGATTGAAAATTAGACTGATTTGAAAATTATGGACACAGTTATGAGCACTGAATTTTCGCTGGGCAAACTTATTTTTGTGTTGCTACGAACGATAGACAGGCTTTTCAAGGTTAAAAATAAAAAGGGATAGGTTTATGTTATGAGCCAGAACCCAGCGACCGTTGACTCGCTGCGAGGCGCGCGAAGCGCGGGGTTTTGCACAAAAGCCTCGTCGATACCTCATAGGTTTGCGTTGTTTGTTTTTTAAAGTAACTTAATGTGCATATTATGGTAACTTTTTTTGCTATGCCATATATCTTTGCATGTCCTCCATCAAACCATATAGATGGTTATTCGAGAGTATTTGAAGAAATAAGGAATCATAAATATACAAAATTGTGGACACAATTTAATTATTTGTGGCTTTGAACAGGCCGATTAATTACCTAAATTTTTTAAAAGCGTTCAATTATTGATGAAAAGTTCGTCCGTTGACGAAAAGTATTGACGGAAAGTCCGTTGACAAAAAGTCGGGGAGCCATAATATTAAATCACAAAAAGTAAAATTTAGATTATTTCGATTTGGTTATGAAATTACCTTGTTTTTGCTAAATAGTGATACTTATATTTATTGATTATCAAATATCAAATAGATTACAAGCTTGCTAAGTGTTGAAGTTTTATAAATAGTATATTTTTGGACTAGTTGATGATAATTGGGCTCGAGTTTAGATTCGTTTCAATGATCGTTATCCATTAGGCAAATTTTAAAGTTAATATTTTTAAAGAAAAATTGCTTTTAATTTAACCCTCTACAAAAAGGGTGCTGAAGATAGTATTGGGGTCGCTTTAGTATAGTAGGCCCATCGAGATAGGCACTCAAATTATATATTATTCGATTCTTCTCGCCGAAACCCGACCAGACTTTTTACCTTTAATCCAAAAATGACCCGAAACCCCATGACATCTATGGTGTAAAGTGACTAGCATCGAATCTTATAGTGTGATTTATAAGATAAAAATTTAAAAGAGAGATGAACCCCGCTAAAAGCACGCCTTATGGTAATGGTAAATCTAAAGATTGTCTGTGATTTTTCTATATCACAATGGCGATTAGTCAATTAGCCACAAAGAGGGCTTGCAAAAATAAAAAAATTCAAAACAAAACGTCATCCAAATAAGGAAATTTAATAAATACTTTAAAACATGATTTAATATAATTAGAAACATGGTGTAATAGATATTGGTTTTGAAAATTGTAATTTATATTGAGTACAATTTTTCAAGCTGTGATTCTAAGTTCCTAAAAAATTTTTTTCTTAAAATCGTATTTCCAAAATTTATGATAAACAAATCGGTATAAACAATGTTAAAATTGAAGATGAACAAATTCAAGTGTGTTTTACCAAACTTTATATTTGCTGATATAATCAGCATTCAAAAATGATTTAATATAATATCTTAATACTTATCAACCAGGAATAATAAAATTATATGGGTATAAATATTTAAATTTTCAATTATATATTTATCAGAACTATTTAACAGAATTTATCAGGTATGTATAAGGTAATTGAGCAGCCTAATGTCGAAAGACTGTGGTTGAAGTTTACAATGTGTAATTTTATTGTTTCGGTTTGATAATTTAACTTACTTTTTCATCGTGTCAACGCAGAAGACCCACAGACAGAAGACCCACAACTAGTATTTTTTATGTTTAATTTATTGCGTATACCAGGGATGGATAATTAAATTTTAAAAAGCGGAAGACTCAAAAAATGAAGAATTTTGTGAAAGGCGGATATGCATTTTGGCGCGAGGGATGTTGTTAGTTTTTTTTAGAAAAGGAATCGAATGAATGAAATAATTCTAAACGAGAAGGAAATTTTGTTAAATATATCAAAAAGTTGAGCATTAAAAAAATATACATAATTGAAATTTATTTATTTATTTTTATACGTCGAAATGACGCGAAGGTCAAAAATAAAATTCAACAACAATACAATACAGAAAAATATAAAAAAATAATAATCTGTATATCTAGATCAATTAAAATAATTTGTATGTGAATTATTATTTAAACTGAATTATTATTTAAAAAACTCGATAAAATAAGCTAAATAGACTGCGATTGAATTTGGGTACACAATAGCAAATTTTAGAATTAAGATATCATTTAAATCTGGGAATATTTCTTATTGTATATCTTTGTTCGGGTTTTTTTTTGATATTTTTGGATGTTGGATATACCCAACAAAAATACACAACGATAGAATTATAGATCATTTGATCAAAACTTATAGTTTAATATTTTAGTAATGCTTAGAAATTCAAACAAGCTAAATAGACTGCGATTAAATGAATTTAATAAACGAATATTGCAAAAATTAGAGGGAGGGGTAAAAGATGAAAGGATTGGGACGATGACTGTCTCTTCAAAAACCGGAAAAATAAGAGAATAATTAACTATATTGTGTTAATAAAAATGAGGGAATGACTAGACAATATTGAAATAACAATAGAGAATGTGTGTAGATTGGATAATTATTGAAGAGAGAATACATTGGAAAAATGCTGGAACTGAGGAATTCTGGAAGTTCCTAACAAAACTACACAACAACCTCGCTTTGGGTTCAACAATAACGAATTTTTGAATTATAATATCATTTAAATCTTGAATTCTTTCCTATTGCGAATTTTGCCCGGATAGTTTTGTTATATTTTTGGATGTTGGATATACCCAACAGAAATAGATATACCCAACCAAATTAAGGTCACAATTTTATTCGAATCGGGTTCGGGCGAAGAAAAGTCAAGGTTTTGAAGCTCAGTTCGGATTTCACATAGTACGTCACATCCCTGATATAATACACTCAAACTAATAATTTTTTTAGGAATTGATTTTTGAATGGTGTGGAATAA